GTCTTGTGTCAGGAGGAGGAGAATCAAGATCATCAGAGATGGGAGTGGAGTGTCCTTCAGGCCCTAAGGCTTACTGCACTGCCATGCACTGGTATCCTGGCTCTCTGGTGTCTGCTGTTTCTCTGTCACACTTCTCACCATCTCTCACTGTCTCTGTCTCCTGAGTGTAGGAGGTTCTCCGTGTAGGGACCCTGGGTTCAAAGGACACACTCCACTCCCAGCGCTTCTTTCTTGGCAGTAGTGAGGCCCTCCCTTTCTGCTCTGGAATGGCTCATTTTAAGCCTAGTGGGATGGCAAAAATGACCAATCCCCTTGTTAGGGTTCCATAAACCTTATTTGCATGGTTCCACCCCATCAAGGGTGCCATGCACCTTATTCTTTGCATTATTGGAAAATTGTCTAATCCCCTTGGTGGGCCACAAACACTTTATTTGCACAGTCCCACCTAATCAGTGAGTGGGAATCACAGAGGCTAAGGCTAGAAGGGCCGTCTGGTCTGAAGTAATTCTCTGCTCTGCAGGCCACTCCAGCTCATCTAGCCATTGGCCCTTTCATACGTGAAGGATCAACTTCCAGTCCCAAACAGTCATTAACAATTGGTCCTTCAGTAGGACAATGAGTCCTCAGGGTGAGGTTACTCAGGTACCAGTCATTCAGGTCTGCCTGCTGCAGGTATCCATCTGATCTGACTTCTCCAAAAGTCATCTTGGCTTCACCCTCTCTGACCTTCCTGATAAAATGTAACTGAGAGAAGATTATTCCCTTGCTCTGAGAGTCCCTCAGTCTCAGGAGGTATCTGCAAAATCTTTAAGGGACTTTAGGTTTGGCCACTGTACTCCACTTCAGCAGTACCTCCCCCTTAGTCCACCCTTTCACACTTATAGTGTCTACAGTTACAGTTATTACAATCACAATCAGCCTTGTTAATAAAGAACACTCACAACGGAACCAGTTAATCCTGTCAACATCTTCCCCCTATTCCCCGGCTCCCTCAGAAAAAGAGAAAACCATTCAGTGGGGAATCTCTCTTGTTGCCCTTATTTTGAGAGTAAATTTTTACATGAAACATAGTAAGCTAGTCACTTCTTGCCTTTATCTCCCCTGTTTAAGATAGCCAATGTTTAAATTGCCTGTCCCTATCAAATCAGTGGGAGCTCTGTTGGCACAGTGCCGAAGGCACTTGACTGCTTACCAGAAAGCTGGCGGTTCAAACACACCAGCCAGTCCTCGGAAAGAAGATTGGGCAACTTACTTCCATAGTGATACTGCCTCAGAAACCCAAGGAGGGGTCGCTATGAGTCAGATCTGACTTGATGGTAGTGAGATCAAATCAGTATTCTGAGGAGACAAGCATGTTCCTTGATCTGAAGAATTTTCTGTTCCAGTTGAAACTTTTGAGTATCTGTATCTATAAGGAAAGTCCAGTCCAGAGCAAGTCGTCAAATTGCAGCAATCTACATCAGCTCATGGTGTCAAACATTATTCTCTTCATTCAGTCAGGTTCTGGTCAGCTCATCCCTAGCCCCCATGGGCTAGGTCAATGGGTACTAGCTGTACCTCAAGCGTCCACGCAACTCCCTTCACTTCAGACCAGTCAGCCTTTTCTTTCTCTCATTCCTGGCTTCCATGGTGCCAATGGAACATGTCCAAACTCAGCCTGTCTCTTCATTGCTGCACTTTTCCCACTTCCACTCATTCGGTGGACCCATGTGGTCACAATAAGCATATATACCAGGCTGTTTACTCGTTGGCTGTCTTTAACTTCCAGTCCTAAAAAAGGGGTCTTCTGATGGGCTTTGCCTTTTCCAGCTTCAGGGCACCCAAAGCCAAACCACATGCTTGACATCAAAAAAGGCAAATAGTCATGTTTTCCCTCCCTTTCCTTCGTTTAAAGGCAAATTTCCTGTTTTCTCGGCAGTTCTGGGTATGTCTGCATGTCTTTTCAAAAGCTCTGATTCTCAATCTAAGCCCCCAGTACTCTGCACACAGGCCTGCTGCATTCAAACCAACAGCCTGTGTTTCTTTTGGGAAAATCCTAGTTCTCTTTTTAACATATCCAATCAAGTATTGGCTGAAGGTGCGGTTACACACTTTCTGGACTCTTTAACACCCACTACTCATTGCCATTATATACATAGGCCTGTTATACAACACTAGGTAGGAGAAACGTTCAATATCCATAGTACATGCAACCAAACACATAACCCCTTAAAAAACATTCTAATTTCATCTTCATTACACCTTGAGTATCTTCCCATGATATGCATATGGCCTTGGGTCTCTGGCTGGGTGGAACCAGCCCCCTAACAAGAATCTTGTTTAACCAGCATAGCTTTGGCCCCAGGCCTCTCCAGATGTAGCCTTACTCCCCTCAGCTGCAGCATAACATCTTTTACTTTCTTTTCAACCATTAGAGGTAACAACCCCCAAAGTAACTACCTAAGAATCAAAAGCTTCACTTCCCACGCTCCTTCATTCTTTCTTTTACAAAGTCCCATGCTTCCATGGGACCTCTCCCTGGAGAAGGGTATCATGCTTGGGTGAGTGGAGGGTCTGTGAAAAAGGAGAAGATGCTCAATGAAATGGGTTGGCACAGCAGTTGTAACTGTGGGCTCTAGCACAGCAAGGATCGTCAGGATGGCGATGATTTGTTCTGTTATACATAGGGTCGTTATGAGTCAGAGCCAACTCACAGCACCTAACGACAAAAATGCTCCCATGAGTCTGCAGCCATTGCAACGGATCCTGCTTTTGATGCCAACTGTAAAAAGTGGCACGGTGCAAGCATCTGACTTCCTCTCACTTTAGGAGTGGGAGAGAGAATTGCCATCAGCACGAGCCAAAGGCAGATTCCTATAAGGTGGAGGTGAAACATGCCTCCTATCTCCAACCTTTTTACCAATTCTGACCCTCGCCATCCCTCCCATGGCACTCTTTCCTCCTCTGCTACATTCAATAATTTGTTGCAGTGGCCACACAGAGCTCACAGGCCATTGGTTTATTAGGGAAGTAACAAGTTACAATTCAGGATCAGGAAGGAAAAAGGATACAGCCTATTCTCAGTTCTGGCCTCAGGCAGGCTTTTCCAGGGCCCTTGACCCCTTGGGCCTCTTGTGTTCCTCAGTCTGGCCTCTGCCATCCTCAGGCAAGTGTTACAAATCTCTTTAGCTCTACCTATAAATGACCGGGGACATCCTACTCTGCCAATAGGTCCTTGGCCTTGGTCCAAAGGCCCTCAGCTCTCCTGCTCCATGGGTTGGTAAGCCTAGCGCCATTGACAAGTGCCCAGAGGCATCCCACTCCTCCAGCAAGCCTCCTGCCCAAAGGCACTCAGCTCTCATGCTCTGTGGGTTGGTACACCCACAGTAACTGCCTTGCTTCATGGGCTGGGAGGCCCACTGCACTGCCTTGTGGTGGTCTCCTGGTTCTGCTGCCACTGCTTCTCAATGTCTTCTGCCATCTCTGATGTTATAGCTCTTTCTCTATCTCCTGGTAGAGGTTTTCCTGGTAGGTTCTCACTGCAGGGACTTTGGGTCCAAAGGACACACTCTGCTCCTTCTCTTCTTGATGGTAGTAGTGGTCCCATTTGCCTCTGAGAAGTCTCATATTAAGTCCACTGGGATTGCAAAACTGACCTATCCCCTCATTAGTGTTCTATACACCTTAGTTGTGTGGTCCTAATCCCATAAAGTTGCCATGCACCTTATTGGCATCATTAGCAAGGTATTCAATCCCCATAGTAGGCCACAAGAATCTCCTCTCCATAGCCCCACTCAGTCACTGGGTGGGAGCTACAAGAGCATGGCAAGAAAGGCCATACAAAAGTGATCCATCACACCACAAAGGTGCCAATGACTGCTGGGCTGGGCCTGACTGAGGGGCTGAGACAAGGCAAGGAGGCCCAATGGACCATGCCTCCATATACCTGTGCCTGCCACACACCTCTGAGCCTCTGGTCAGGATGACTCCTCAGATAGGGTCCATGAGCCGAGGGTCCGACCCTGGCCCTACTCTCCTCTGCCCAGTCCTTGGGACATCCCCTTTGCCTTCACTGTGCCTGCTTGAGTGATTCCCAGCCAACTTTCGTCCCAGTGTTGTCCTGGCACTTCCCGTAGCTTGTTTCCCAGTCTGGACAATTGGGGTGGCAGTGACCCTATACTTGGTGGCCAAGGAGAGAAAGCCCACTACCAGGTGACATCCTGTTAGTGTGTCTGCCACATCCTGGGAGGTCCTAGGCCCAGAAAGGTCAAGGTGGGAACTTTCAAGACCCTGGGCCCCAAAAACCCCAGGCCCAGTGGCCAGGGCCCAGTATTGAGGGGTTCTCCTGGTGGGGTCATCTACTAACCATCCTAGCTGACCAGCCCACCTCTTACCAGGGAGTGGCCAGTCCTGCCTCAGAGTCTCTACACTCATTCTTTCTACCTATAGAGTTGTTCTCACATGTGTTCCTTTCTGACTGACCCCATTCCTACACTTTAGTTTTTTGATTACATTTTATTGTATTTTCAGTGGAGATTTATATACCAGTTTAGGTTCCCATTCAACGATTTCTACACAAATGCTTCAGCAGCACCGGTGACATTCTTCGTAATGCCTGAACATTCCCGTTGCTTCCGTTCTGGTGGTTTAGCTGCATCCCCATGTTCGTCACCTTCACTCATTTTGAGGAATCCCTGGAAAGTATGAACAACTAACGTGGTCAATGCACTCAGCTGCCAACAGAAAGGTGAGAGGCCCAAGATCACCCAAAGGCATCTCGGAAGGAAGATCTGGGAACCTACTTCCGAAAAATCGGACACTGAACAAACCCTATGAAGCACAGTTCCAGTTTAGCACACACGGGGTCACCAGGAACCGGAACTGACTCCAGGACAACTGGTACTTGACCCGCCCTTCTCTCCTAGGTGTCTGCCCCAGGACTCAGGGCAGGATAAGGGTCACCTTTCCGCTGCTGGGATTTTGGAGCTCAGTAAATAGTCTAAAGAACGTCCCCCCTCAACATGTGCACCGCCCTCCACCCATTTCGTTCCCAATTATTAAAGGAGCGAGAACTCGCGCCGCTGGCCACGGGAGGAGGCGTGGCCTTCACAGCCCGGGGTGGGGCCGCTCGGGCGGCGGAGGGGGCGTGGCCCTCATGGCACTGTGGAGGCGTGGCAGCGACGCCACGGCGCAGGGGAGGGCGTGGGGCGGGCCCGAATTTTGGGGGCCGGACGCTGGGGCTGGAACAAAGGCCTGGGCGGGAACAAAGGTCCGCGGCCCCCCAGCTCTGGAGGGGAACAAAAGGCACCCCTGGGCCAGAGAACGGACGCGCCAAAGCCGCCGCCACGTGCGCCCTCCCGGGGGCAGAGGGCGCGCAGCGTCCCCACCTCAGTCTGGACGCTGCCTTAGTGTGCGCGCACTTCAGGCGCCGTGCTGTGCGCGCGGGCCCTGCCGGCCCCCCCCGCACCCTCCATGAAGCCCCCCGAGCCCGCCTCCAGGCCGGAGGGTACACTGAGGCAGGCCTTGTCCTCGTGCGCTGCGGTCAGTGTGTAAGGGGTCGAGGCCCACCCTCAGCGGCTTGTTTATCCCTGGTGTTTGCTCTTGGCCGGTGTTCAGACAGGGTGTCTGTCCCCCACCCCTCCAGGCCCTGCTCCTCGCTTCTCAGCGTTCAGTCCTTCGTACTCTGCGCCAATTTCAGACAGGAGCCCCCTCTCAGACATCTCCCACCGCGCACACGCAGTCTCAGGTTGTCCCGACCCAGACCCTGCCTCACTCTTCAGACAGGACTCTCGACGCACTCTAAGACCCCTTCCCTCTGCAGAAGGGACTTCCCAGTCTCGGTTACACACAAATCGTGCTCCCCTCCTTAGGGTTCTCCACCGCACACACAAACACATCCTTTATCCTCCGTTCTCTCCCCATAGGACCCCCCCCCACAGGATTCTCCTCACTCAGACCCTGCTCCTCCCTAGACGTGATCCCGCGAACACACAGGCCCAGCTTCCTTTCTTAGACAAGATTTCCCCCACTTTTGAGGGTTGGGATGTCCTTATGGAGGACAAACGGCAAAGCGTCACAGTCAGAACGGCTGGCTAGGTGATGAGGAGGGAGAGCTTCGGGGCCAGGTGGGATTTCACAGACTCACTGCTCTGTAACCCCTTGTGCTCGACATTTAATTGAAGCAGCTTCCTCTGTTTCTCATATGTAGCAATAAAAAGGTTAAAGCCCCAAAGTCTCTCAGCCGCCTCAGACCTGGGCGGCCTTCCTTCCTTGCATGGGGCCCCGCGGGGCCTCGCCCCGCCCCCAGGCCCCACCCCCTCCAGGAGCTACTGGTGACGCAGCGGTTGGAGACGTCTAGAGCCTGTCCCAAGAACGCGAGGAGAAGGAGGTGCCCGGCTGCCCACGCACGTGCGCAGTTCGGCTGCCTTCCTCTGTGCGGTCTGGAGGTGGGGCTAGGGGGGCGTGCGCCCCGCCCGCCGGCAAAGTTGCGGCGGTGACGTCCTGCGCCCCGCCCCTCTTGCGCGAGTTGTACGCAGCGGGGGGTGGTGGCGGTGGTGGCGGTGGTGGGGGTGGGTGAGGACCGCGAGCGCGTGCGTACTGGCAACCTCACCGCCGGCGGCTGGCTCTGACTCCGCCCCGGGGCCGCACAGTTGTCAGTGCGCGTGCGCGGAGGCGTCGGCGCCAGTTATTTCTGTCCCGCCCCCCGGCAGCGGCTCTTTCTGCGAGCGGGCGCGCGAGCGAGCGGTTGTGCGCGTGGCGCGGGGCGCAAGGGCGGCAGCGGCAGTTCGCGCGGTGGGCCAGCGGGCGGCGAGCAGGCAGCGGCCGACCGGTCCTCGGCAG